CGAACAATATAAATAGTTTAAATAATCAATGTTTCTGTCGTAAAAACTTACCAAATAAAACAGTAAAGCATTATTTTCATTACATGAAAATTAATCCCATATGTTTTATAGGCAATTAGTTACTATATACGTTGTAATTAAAATACATAAACAGTTTCTGAAACGAAACGCAATTAGAATTGAGTAAAAATTGTTCAGGATATCAGTGTGATCTACTGTTTCAAAATCATTGAAGCGCTCTCTCAGTTACGCCTAAGAAGAAAAGGTGATTAACTTGTTTATTCAATTTCCGATTCCATCAAATTAATGTCGGTTATGTGGGTGAATTGTATTTGGAACGAATATTCTAATTATCTCCTAGCGAGGGAGATAAAGGTGTTTGTGGGTTAATAGAATCGGAATATGAAATCGGGGAGCAGTGAGAATTCCAATTTCGTTCGTTACATTCCCTTTGCTCAAATACCACTGGGAATGTCATAAATAGATCTCCTTAAATAGAACTTGTATCTGGAAAACCATTATTCTTCTTAAAAGATTGTTAAATTGTTTATATCCAGTCATAGAAAAGGAATCCTTCTTACACTCCAAAATATGTTTCATCTTTAAATAACCCACAGACGGTTGATAAGAACAACTCAATCAATCTCGCGACAATGTGTGGCATTTATGTCATCCGGCTGTCTTTGTGTCCACAGTTCAGCAGGGTTAACTTCCTCTTCATACGTTAGTGCAGCTACTGGAATCCTTTGAAGCCTGATTCTGTTTTTAGTGACTATGGTTAACTTAAGGTCAGCCTGTGACAAATCTACCTCTTCTGAACTCAGTACATATTGGGATCACCACAGAAATTAAAATCCTAAAATATTGACATTAAATTCGATTCAGACCTTTTGACATTTCCTGGCATGAATCAGATACGACACTATTTTTACAAAACAATGATATTTTGTAATAACTGCTTCCTCAAGAAGCGACAGGCGGATTTTTTTGTTTTGTTTTGCTAAAGATTTACTACAGATTTGAACGACTTCAAGGCTGGTCTCGTTATCACAAAAGGCTTAATATGAGTCTTTTATCCAATCAAACTTTATTTCAATCGGAGACTTCTAAAATATTCCTTTTACGTGTATATCTGAATCAATTGAAGCTATTCATAATTGCACATATATCAGTAAATCTGTATTATAAAACAAATGATTTTCTGAATCTCACACACTGTCTTCGGACAACTTTGCATGCGCGTATGTAATGTTTGTCGTGTATGAGTATCTTACATTCAATTTAATGTACACAAAATCGCACCCAAATACGCACACAACTTCACTGAGTTTGAAATAACATATAAACAATAATACATTCCACTTCAACTCAGTCTGGACATATCCCTACCCTGGGCTGAATAATAAAATCATAAAAGCAGAGAGCGAAGATAAACATATCAACAGCTTCAAGCACGTCAAACAGTCTCAATGCTTACTCAATTGCGTATTGAAATAAAAAACATAAATAAAAAAAAATCGCCATGTATTGTAATTTTCTCTCAGATACTTTGTGCATTTTCTATATTTGAAAGACTTACCGACACATACACCTATAGTAGTGTTGCAAGGTAAGAAACGTATTTTTCCGTATCATTTATTTTTGTCTGGTTGATTTAATATGGTTTGTTATATTATTGGAGGTGGAGAAATAAAATGAATAGGTGCTGAAAACACCTCGGCTCAATCTACTTCCCAGAATTTTATCAAACAACAAAATGTTTAAAGACTTATTGGTTGGGCTGAGAACTTTTCAGTACCTGTAACGTAAAATATTTTTTTGTCTTTATATTATAATCTTTTCACATTTACTTGGCGCACTATATATATATATATATATATATATATATATATATATATATATATATATATATATATATATATATATATATATATATATGCTTCGTTCGATTGTTGCATAAACTAATTAGTTCAATTCCTCTTGAACGAAAAAAAAACGAACTTCCGTTTCAAGGCATAAATATATAATTGCATTTTTTGCATCGATTTCTCTCTTGTAGTTTTTACAGGATTTTATTTTTGATCTTTTGGGCTTGAATATTATTTTTTGTTTCTTTTTTACTTTTTTGATTCATTCCGAGAATTTACTATTTTTTGACTACTGATCTTTCCTTCGCCATTTCTTTGTTTTTCATTTTCAAATGTTTTCCTCTTCAGATTCGACTGTTCCTTTTCTTTATTAATTACATTATATGTGTCGACTTTATTTTTTCAATTCCCTTTTTTACTCTTTCTAGCTACGATTTTTCCTTTTTTTCTTTTTTTTTCATGTGTATTTTTCACTTCATCTTTCCTCATATTATTCTTTTATTTATGATAGCATTATTTGGTCTTTTTAGAAACCCCTTCTAACTTGCTTCCCAGTAAACAACTAAGCAAACACAAATTTTAAAAAAATTACAAAAATTACACTCTTTTCGAATTTTATCCAATGTATGCGTAAACAAATAAGAGAACTTTTCAGTTAAATCCAGGATTCGAAAATTATTTGACTAAAGTTGAGTTTTCTTAGAAAAGAGAAAATCGCAAGTAAAGCCAATTCATGAATCTGCGACAGAAAACGGAAGTTTAATGATATCGTAAGCTAAAAACATCATACCAGAGTTGAGCCCAGTGGCTTTTCTCAAAAATGTTTTGTTTGAGGCACTACTGTTGCTGTTTTCACTGCACGAGATAATTAAAATTGTCTGTTCTTGTGCGCTTATTTGTGCTTAATATTTTTGTTATTTATAACGTCTCAGGAGACACCATTATATATATATATATATATATATATATATAAATTCATGAATCATTCATACAAAAAACAAATATAGAGGTTAATGATTTAAATGGCGAGAATACATCGTCGCAAACAATTTCAATAAGATACATTGACCCTGAACCTGTATATGAATGATATGATCCCTGTTTATAAATTCCAGTTGCATAAGGTCTTTTAATTTTTACAAGCTTTCATCTGTTCCTACAGACATCCTCAGGTATGGAAGTAGATTTTGTTCTTGTTTTTACTTCTCGGTAATAAGAGGACAACGAAAATAGAGATGTAATCCGAAAAAATGCTATGAGAAATGTGTTATTGTTTTGGAACGTGCGGTCGCAACGCTGAGTTTGAATTTAAATTTTAAGGTTGTGCGTTTTTGTACAAAAGAGAATTCTTTTTTACTGGTAGATTTTCGTCTATGTGGCATGAACTATATTGTTCAATAATTAGAGTAATATATATGGTATTTGGGCTAAATTGAACTTTTTTTTCCATGGAAAAAAAAGTGAATAACTAAAAATCAATTTATTGAAAAAAATAGATGTGACATACAGGTTATAGTTATAAAGACAATTCACTCAAAGAAGCCATCCTCAACATCTATCTCAGCCTCAATCCGACACCAGAATCGGGACAGCTTCAAATGCCTTTTTAAATCTGTCAATCAGTTTTTGGATGAATTCTGGTGTACGAAGGCAATCAGAATGTCTGCTGCGTTCTTTTCTACAAGCCATGGCCTCTTAGTCTCCGTTTTCATCTCTCCATTTCACGCATTTCTTTTTCACGGGGTTCAAAAAGTATTGAGCAGCTGTCACTTTGATGCCCAGCACGAGTCATCATGAGGCAGGTTACTCGTTCCCAATATTCAGCTGGTCGTTTCTACCCGTCCATTACAATTAATTTCGAAAAACTTTTCCACTTTGTCATACATCTTTCCTCCAAGTTTTTTCTTGATATATAAAACTTTATATCTGTCTATATTTCTGAGATGATCTATTGTAACTATTTACACCATTTACATCTTTCTGACTGTTGTCCTCATTTTTATTGCCATATTCACGACGTTTCGGCAGTTATACGCTCAGGCCTTCAAGTGATATACGCTGGAATTTTGAACGGAGCCCTTTATTAGTTCTCGGGTATGACTTGTTCTAATTCCACGTGCCATGCCTTTTTTGGACATCTCAGTTTCAGACTGTCGCCTCTGGGTGTTGACTTAGTATACATTATATATATAATGTGTGTCTGTGCTTATGTGCATGTGTTTGTTGCTTTTGATTTTATTTTAAATACGTTACATTAAGTATATTTGACAGAGCATTTAGTGCATGCTGTCGCAATCATATTGATACAGTCTGTGGAATGATATACATTTTACTGCACAAAGAAGGAAGAATCAACATGAATAATACTTGAACTTGCAGAGACGTTAGAAGTGAATCAGTCAACCATAGTTTGTTTAAAAGCCTGACAACAAGAGTCAGAAAAAGCAATATTCAAAAGCGATGGAAAATTATTTATTACGAGAACATTTTCATAATATTAAATTAGACCAACAAACAGCAGACCAAGTAATTGGTATCACATTACTTCGTTATACACGATATTTCTAGTGTATGCAGCACGTTGTCTTGTGCCTTGGATATCATCTATGTTTAGCATTAACACTCTGACCATAACGTTCTTTTGCGCTTGTGACGTTGAAAATGCTACTTGCAACTGACCGTGAGTGAAAAAATGGCTACCGCAGGTAAATACCTACTTTATCAAAAGTCTGCTCCCGGGCTTTATTCATAGTTATCAAGTTTTATATATCAAGAAAAAACTTGGAGGAAAGTCGTATAGGAAATTCGATCCTGTTTAACGTAAAAGGAATGTTGATATCACTGGCGTTCAGTTTGATTCTAGGGATGAATACGATAGAGCCTCCTTGATTATCACGTATCAAGGACGCCTCAACACTATTTTCGTGAAGTTGTAGTGCCATCATGCGTGGTCGATGGGGAGTCATGCCAGAAGGTGTGAGTTCGTGAACCCCCAAGGATAGTTTTTCATTCTTCATTGTTTGTACAACTCAGGGGAAGCTCTATACAGGGATTTGTGTTTTGAATTCTCTTAGAAGTTTCTTCATCAAAAAGTTCTGCAACAAGTGAATCATTAAAAACCATGACGCAGAAATGCCAATAGCATCTGAGGGATTATCATTAATCCGTTTCTCTTTTCGCTCTCTCTCTCCCGTTTCTTCGTCTCTCTCTATCTCTCTCGTGTCTTCGTCTCTCTCTCGCTCCCATTTCTCTCTCTCTCGCTCCCATTTCTCTCTCTCTCTCTCTCTCTCTCTCTCTCTCTCTCTCTCCCGATTTTCTGCTCTTCTCTTCCCCGTTTCTCTTCTCTTCACTCACGCTCATTCGTTTCTCTTCTCTCTATATATATCCTGTTTCAGTTATCTCTCTCTCTCTCTCTCGTTTCAGCTCTCTCTCTCCCATTCCTCTCTCTCTCTCTCTCTCTCTCTCTGACACTATTCTCATTTCCTTCTCACGTTTTTCTTCTTTCTGTCCGACGTCTCTTCTCTCTCTCTCCCATTTATGTTCTCTCTGTCTCCTGTTTCTCTTCTCTCTATCTCTCTCCCGTTTTTCTTATATCTCTCGCTCTCCTGTTTCACTTCACTCTCTCTCTTCTTTCTATACCTCACCATATTCTCTTCTCTATCTCTCTATCTCCAGTTTCTCTTCTCTTCTCTCTCCCGTTTCACATTTCTCTCTCTCTCTCTCTCTCTCCCATTTCGCTTCTCTCCCCCTCCGGTTTCTCTTCTCTCGCTCTCTCTCCCGTGTCTCTTCCCTCTCCCATTTCTCTTTTCTCTCTCTCCCGTTTCTCTCCACTCTGTCTCTCTCTCACGTTTCACTTCACTTTTCTTTCTCTCTCTCACGTTTCATTTGTCTCTCTCTCACACACACACGTTTCTATTATCTCTTCTCACTCACTCTCTACAGTTCTTCTTCTCTCTCCTATTTCTCTTCACTCACTCTCTCTCCCTTTTCTCTTCTCTTTCTCTCACCATTCTCTCTCTCTCTCTCGTTTCACTTCTCTCTCTTTCTCTCCTGTTTCTCTTCTCTCTCTCCCGTTTCTTCTATCCCTCTCCTGTTTGTTTTCTTTTGTCCCTCTCTACTTTTTCTCTTCTCTCTCTCTCTTGTTTCTGTCTCAACGTTTCACTTCTCCCTCTCTCTCTCTCTCTCTCTCTCTCTCTCTATCCTTTTCAGTTTCAAAATTTATTACTATTTTGTTTGTATCGCTGTCTTGCCAATGTCAATATTTCTTTGCTTCGAAAGTCCATTTGCATTGCTATTTCTCGCCATTTTTCTTTTTTTCATTCATTCTCTCTAATTCTAATTTTTAGCTTTCTATTTTATTTCCTCTTCACCAGATTATTCTTTCATTCTTTATTTCATTTTTCTTCTTAAAATTTCTTAGTCACTTGTTTACTTTTTTCTTATTCATTTCACCTCACTTTCTCAATTTGTATTTTCTTCCAACAAGAACATTACTCCCGTAACAGGTGATTTGTTTCTATGTTGTATAATTTATTCCTTAAAAAAACATTAGAAACTTCATCTCTGGCTACTTTGCAAAACGTAAATCACTGCTGACTACAAAACCTGAAAACAATGCATTCAAACGTATAAGCAAATAATAAAAGAAAACTTTAATTAATTTTTCATTAGGTATTCTTACCAATGAAAGAAAGACTTCATCAAACATTTATAATAAAAATCTTTCAGTAAAAATATTCAGACATTTGAAATAACTAATAATAAATTATTCCAATTTTTGCGTTTAAACTTTTGACCGGACACTTGAACGTGGACTCGGTAAAAGACCCAAACCTTTGATTTTTCAATTTTTCTGATTTACACAGGATTTTTATTTTAAAAAGTACTATCAGGGATACCCGGCGTTGCTCAGAAGATCTCAGAATAATAGTTTATAATTGGCAATTTATAGAAAATTATTGTTTATTCAATCTTTAAAAAATAAACTTTTTAAAGAAGATTATGTTGACAGATTTATCAATATGGACGAATTTATTGATTTTATTTATAAGTAGACAAAAATCCAATCTGTTTACATTCGGTTTGAAAAACACTAAAGTATTTACTTATTAGGAATATTAAATTTAATCTATTAGGTTGAAATTAAAACTAAAATTAGATTCCCGAAAGATTTTTTTTTCTTTTTTCAAAATTTATTTTAAACTTTAGGTATAGCTTACTTTTACTATACAGTGAACATTTCAGATCAACATTCAGCTTTTAACTGCCAATCTACGAGATTTTATTGCAAATAACATACTAATGACGAGTCTTATTTGAGATACGATCTCAAATAATACTGTATAGACTAGCTTAGAAGAAACTAGTTTGAATGTTTATATTCATTATATCAAAGCCACTATATTAAAATATTATGCCCGTTTACGATTATAAGTCTATCAGGTTTTCTTCCTTATATTTTTAAGTATTATCTCAAACCTAATAAATATGACTTCGGTTGCCAACATTTCACTGTGAGCAAGATGATCATATTCAAAATTTGTTTGCCTATGCAATATTCGAATTAGAAAATATCTTCAGTTTAAATACAGAATGATTCATAAAAATGGCTTCAAAAGGCAAAACGTTTCATATTTCCTTGTTGTTTCGGGTAATTAGCCTGTCGTGTCCACTAAAATATCAAATACAATATTTATAAACCAGTCACACTCAAGAAAACACTTACATCTTAAAACATCCCAATAAAATCATAGAATTCAATTCAGAATTTTTGTTGTATTAGTCATCATTATTTTTAGGTAGATACCAACCAAATATCGTACGGACGTAGTAGAAGACATACCACGTGCCCTTTTAGGGTCAATTAGGAATAAATGAATAATTTAATTCTGGAGCCAATTTTGTTACGAAAAAGTGTATAAAAACATACCAAACAGGATACACGCGACTATCACCAAACTCCACGCCACTCCCGCTTATGATCTTCATGACCCCATGCTAAAAAAGACAATGCTGACAAACTTCAAACTACGGCAACACCGCCAATAGTAAGAAACAATTCGTATCTCTCGTATCCGCTTTTATGAATCACGCACACACATGTTGACTTTTTCATACAAACACACATATCACAAGATTTTATTGTCTCTCACATGCGTACACAAAGACAGTATATATTTTATTTCAGAATTTTATTAACCCAAACAAAAAGACATTACTTTTTAATCTATCATCAACTGCTTGTATTCTTGTCGCTATATTAATGTTTATTTGTTGAAACTACGTTGTCTTTTCTGCTGAATTTTATTCCTTCAATGAAAATCGTGCGATTATTCTAGACAGTCAAATTACGAGCGTCCCTGTAACGATATTTTAGCATTCAACGAAAACCCGAGTAGAAGGATTCCTACAAGACCTTGTGTCATAGATGTCCATTTGCGCATCATCCAAATTATTTAATAAAGTATACAAAGCCACGCGTAATCTATATTTACGTGTGCCTTTGTATATTTTATTAAATACCGAAAAGCATTTGTACCTGATATTTAAAATTTTAAGAGATCATTCTTTTAATAAACAGAATTATATTTTCATTTTTAAACTTCCGAAAAGTGCAATAAGATTTTATATTTGATTATTAGGGTTCAAAGATTATTTTTTTCAATTTTTTCATCTCAAAATTTGATTTTTATCGCCTTTTCCATGGTAGGTGTTGTCCAGACTAAATGGAATAATACACTCCTCTCCCAGTGTACGTGTGTATGAGTGTGCGTACAGCACCTACATAAGCATCTACATTACATGTACACATGTAATATCACGCAAAGACAATGTGTAAATTAGTACCTCTTTTATCATATAATTCTGAAGAATAAGTTTCTTGTGGAATTTCAGTCAAATTGATATCAAAACTGAGAATCTCTTAAGGGAGACTCTGGTTTTAATATCGATACACAGTTGTATTATATTCAGTTACGAAAAGAAATCGGATGCATTCCCGATAGAAAGCAAACATACGTTCATTAAAGGAAAGGAACTGCTTTCTACTTAAAATGCATTAAAAATCAGGAGAAATTATACATTCAAAATGATACAAATACAATTAATGAAACGATGATAATTTTGAAAATGTTTGACGCCATTTATAATTTTATTTGCTTGGTATTTTTTGAGGTTTTAATCGAAATCAAGAAAAATCGGAAAAAATGTGGAAAACAAAAGAAGCAAAAAAGAAAGAAAAACATATTTGATGCAAGCTTTTCATGGCATCAGATGTCATAGGAAGAGAAATCACACATATGTATACACATACACACACACTTTACCTCTCGTACACACAAAAAACCATGTGCATGTACACGCAACATAGACTATATTTAAAGAAAGATACTTACTCAGATTAACATCGAAATTTTGTCTAATCATTTTTCATTATCTAATTGTAGCATATATATATATATATATATATATATATATATATATATATATATATATAATCACGTAACTATTTATATATATTTAGGGATATCAGATGCTTACACGCACACATTTTTTCTACATATGTACAAATACATCAGTTTCGACGCATATATATATATATATATATATATATATAGACCTCCCTCTCATATATATATATATATATATATATATATATATATATATATATATAGTCTACCATTCATCCTTGCTTTTGAATATATCTCCTACTATATAAAATTCAAAAAATCTGCAATTTATTGGCCCTAAAATCACATATCGGCTTAAGTCAATTTTCTGCCGCCATAAAGTCAGTCGCTTTCCTCTGGCTTTTCTATAAATACTTTCATGGTAATTGTTCTGATGAACTTTCTTTTATGATACCTAGAGTTTATGAATTTAAGTGCAGTGCTATATTAGTGGCAAGGTCTCATAAATTTACAGTTAAAGTCGCTAGATGTAACTAAGTTCTTTGCTAACAGTTTCTTTTTGTGGAAGTCTCTTCAGGCTTCTTACTTCCCTCTCAACATTGATCTTCAAAAGTTTAAATTGTGATATCAATCGTTATTTTCTGTCTTTTTAAGATTTTTTCTTTTATTCTTCTCTCCTTTAGAGTGTTATTTTTTTATTTATTTTTCTAACACTCAGTCACCCTTTGCGTCTTGATTGCCTTGCTTGGATTAAATGATTATCATATATATATATATATATATATATATATATATATATATATGTGTGTGTGTGTGTGTGTGTGTGTGTTTTTCAGCACCATGTCCCATATATATATATATATATATATATATATATATATATATATATATATATATATGGGACATGGTGCTGAAAACTACGCTGGATCGAGTGAAGATAGGATTTGGATTATATCCACACACACATAAACACACAAACACACACACAAATACACACACACACACACAAAACACACACACACACATGATGACTGCCTTCTCATTATCGAACATGGCCATGATTTGCATTGATTTTCACAGATTCGACAGCCATGACCAGTTACAACATTAGACACAATACTCATAAGTCTTTTCACAATAGCATGATAACAACCGGGCCCAGGTTGCACTGCCTTGGGATACCTGTCAGGCCTAAACTTTTATCTGGTTCAGTTCGAGAACCCTTACTGCCAGAATCTGTAATACTGTTGTGATTCATCATAACAATCTTGCCTATTAAGGCTACGGTTAGCTATACGCACCACCCAGTAATACCACCCCCACACACACACCGCAAATATCGTGAAATGCCCGTGCATGACATTTTTAAAGTGAAGAAATACGATCAGTCCCACTTTATGAACAACACAAGCAATGATCCAAAAACATCATAGCATTCCACGGGTGTTACAACAGATTTTTTCCTTCTCCTAAGAAGATGTCCTAACTAGGACCATCTCTCTGCCAATGGTTGTTATTTGGTGGTGCTGGGATGTCGATGAGTAACCACCCATCCGCCAGCTTCACTATTTGCCCATAGCTGCAACCCTAAGAGCTGCAATCCTCTAGACTAGGGGGATCTGGAAACAGCAGAAATTAAAAGGTGGTTCCACGCTCCTCAAAACATCCAGTTTCACGATCAAAGGCCTTGCTGCCGGATGTACTTTATAGTCATATCCAGGACAAATACAAAGACAAATTTAAAATAGTATAAAAATAAGTGTTTGTACGGAAAGTAAGGACTTACGTACATCAAACTGTCTTTAAATTAAGTGGCGACAGAAGCATTATCATTGACCTTTTAAAAGGTAAGTTTAAATAGGAATACAATACTTAAATGCAATTTTGAGTTCTGTAGTATGTTGTTGCCTATCACATCTACTCTTCCCTACCTACTGCGATGAAAGCCCAAACCAGAGCTAGGTTAAATACCTCCCCCGAAAGGACGTTTTTTATATATAGCGTATATATATATATATATATATATATATATCAAACGTAGAGAGCCAGACAAACCTACCAAGCTTTCACGTAAGCGGGTCGTCAGGAAAGCT